GAAGCTGGCGACGTGGACGACAACGTCGTCGACGACGATCGGCACGAGCCGAGCGAGGCGATGATCGATCTCGCGCGGAGCGTCACTCGCGAGGCCGATCGTCGCGAGCGACGCTTCGCCTGCCCGTTCTGCGGCAAGTGCGTCAGGTCCAAGGAAAATCTGAAGCTGCACGTGCGCAAGCATACTGGCGAACGGCCGTTCGTCTGCCTGTTCTGCGGTCGCGCCTTCGGAGGTAAGAGCGACCTGACGAGGCACCTGCGCATCCACACCGGCGAGCGGCCCTATCACTGCGAGATGTGCGGCAAATGCTTCGCCCGGGCTGACTATCTCTCCAAGCATCTCACCACGCATATTCACCAGCGCTAACGTGATCGCAACTCGGCTCACTCGCCTCGGCCGCCTCCTCGGACCCGAAGAGCACCGCAACGACGTGCCTCTTTCTCTCCGACACCAACGCGTCCCTCCGCGCGTTGACGTGCCATGGCCGTTGCAGGGCGACTCGAGAATTGATCTTACTAAATTATACATGTAACAAATATGTCATACACGCGTTGATAATAATTATGAGGAAAACAAGAGGGCGTTCAGGAATTTAGGGTATATCATTTTATCCTTGTTGTTCACTAAATGTTAAAAAACAAGGATGAAATAATATCTAGATGCACCCGGTTGAACGCAGTTCATTCTGCGACGATCAGCAAGATATTATATATAGAGCGCGAAGAACGAATATATAGCTATATTTACGTGTTAATTATTTTCTCTCTGACAATGCTTCGAAAGACAGAAATTCTCGTCGCTCACTTCCGATTCGTGCATGAAGCCGCAAGGCAGTAATGGCAATAATCCTTGCTAATGGAGCTGTTAAACTAATTTTGACGCGTTTCAATAGCACAAATTAAAATCGAAATCTTGAAATATTCGATCGTTCATCATATGCAAGATCATACCTTGAGTTCGCAACAACGCCTGCGTTCCGCTCTCAGCTGATCGTTGTCGAATGAAAAATCGTTCTGCTCTCGAAGAGTACGAGCGTCAGATGAAACTGCTGAAGGACTCCTACTGAGATGAAGAAAGAGAGAGAAAGAAAAAAAAACGGACCGCATCTATCCATCGCCGCCGGCCCAACAAGACGCGTCAATTATGGAGAGACAAGGGAGAATGTAGTGAAATGCGATCGCGCGCGATCTCTACTACGGTTCACCAGCACGTTCGACGATGGTTTCTGCGGTACGATAGTGAGACTAACTTGTGATAACGGATATGAAACCAAAAAGGAGAAAATGAGAAAGAATAAAAACCAAAGAACGCGCAACGACGCGACGGGCGAAAGCCGACGGTCAAAGGCTTCCTTTTGTTGTCTTCTTCGTCTTCGTGCTCCATCGACAAAGTGATATATTTGTAATGTAATAGCTAACCTCGATATACTCGATGTGTACTCGACATGTAATATAATTCGCGATGACGATGCCGCGTGCGATTACGATAATTTCTCTCTACGCGAGCTCCGTGCAGACGCGAACACGTCGGTGAACTTTCCTTTTTTTTACGCGGATGGAAATCGATTCGTTTCTCGCAAAATTGAGGAGTTCAACCGATGATGATTGGATTCATTTTTCGAGGATACGGGCAAATCAATCTTGAACTTAAGAAAATTATATCTTGAATTAAGCTCGAAATTAGAAAAATTATGTAAATTTCTTAAATACTTTCCTAACGCTTCGAGATCAATTTCCCAAGTACTTAGGAAAGTGAATCGGTATCCTCGGAACCCTCCTCAACTCAAAGAACCCTTTCGTCATGAACAATGCCCTTTCGACAATTGGTACGTGCATGGTACGTTCAATACGTCTAATATACGAAAACTAAGACAAGTTATTAAAAGCCCGCAATACTCACACCCAATATCTTTGATTATGCTATCAAAAGCGAGGTGAGGCACGCAAACTTTTCGTGATAGACTTTTTAAAAGTCAGACTTTCTGGCCCATTCCATTTATCTATTTTTGCTCACGAGAGAAAAAATGAAACGCAGATAAGTATAAATTTATCACGACGAAAGGGATCAAGAATATCGATATGATTGTTTAATATGAGATGTAAAAATCGCATAGCACGTACAGCATATGTTTTGATGATATTCATTAATCCTCTATGGACGAAATTATATATTTTGCCTGAGAAAAACGCCAATTCTATTTGCTCGAAGCTTTGATTAGAAATAAATATATATCTACATTTTACACATCTTATTGTTGTTTTTAAATAGAGAATTTTCGAGATATAAACTTGAATATAGAAATGCACTACAACTACAACGCATTTTGCTTTGATATTCTATATTAATCCATAGAGGATTAAACCGTCGAATAACTGCTTTTACGATTATCATTCGTGTAAAACGACGTGTTCGACGTTGGCACCGATCGGGAGGGTAAACCTCCCGGAAAGCGTTGCCGGTGCCTTTGAATTCCCGAATGAACGAACGAATAATCCTTTCCTTGATGATGCGGATAGCAATAATATATATCTTTTATTTCTCCCGTCTACGTCAGAGACATCAGCGCGATTTAGGTTCGTCGTCGGGAGCCGCGAAGTAGCGTCTTGTTGCACGGTCTATATTCGGTCCTTCCAAAAATCCTCTCCATTTAGTCACTCTCTTAGATATTTATATACATGTGTATGTGCGCGATATATATACATATATATATAATTTATATATATATATATGTATATATTCACATGTACATATACAATAACGAGATGCTGTCCAGCTATGCGCTGGACCGCAAAACTTTTTTTAGAGAGAGAGAGAGAGAGAGAGAGAGAGAGAGAGAGAGAGAGAGAGAGAGGAACGTAGGACAACTCGTGCGAGTTCGAAGGATCATTTACGAGATCGGATCCCTCCACTTGGTCAGAAACACTTACCTAGCCCTTAAGTGATGTATAGTGTACTTGCTGCTCTGTGTACTTTCGCGCGCTTTCGAAAGTACGCGAAACGAAGTTGAATAACGAAGGTGCTATCTAACGAATAGGGTTGATCGCCAGATGCCGGCCGGCCGGTACCTCTACCCAAGAAACGAAAAGCGTAAGCGTGAAAACGAAACGCGAAAGGAGAGGAGAGAGAGAAAGAATAAGGAGAATCTCTAGATTGCCAGCTAATGTCTATCGTGCCAAAAAGAAAAGTGTTTAGAAACGAGGGAAGAGAGCAGGAGAGAGAATAAAAAAAGAGAGCCGGAGAAAATGAGCAAGTAGTAGAGGAGAATCTATTCCGTCGGGCGAAAATTCAATTTCCCTCCAAGACCGGCCCGGTGCTGCGATAGGCCAATTTAGTCCGTAATTACTGTATTATTATACCGTCTCGATAAGAATGTAATTTTACGATTAAATGATACGTCGATATTGTGTGCGTGGTCGGGTGGAGTGACCATCGTGTCAAGATTTTATTAAGAGGAACATGTCCAACGAATGTCAACGAGAATTCGCGGCGAGGCGCGGGAAGCGTTTCGCTTGCGTTTGCACCCTTTTAATTTCCCACTTCTCGCCGTTTCGCCATATATATATATATATATACATATATACATATATACACATATATATATGTATATATACACACATACATACATACACTCGTCCGCCCTAATAAGCTGGACATATATACGTGGTCCTCGTGCGTTCAGACTCGAGGAGCGCGAGCTAGAAGATTAAAGAAAACAGTTCCATGACGCCTGACGTCCCAATCGTTAGTCTAACTGCCCAACGTCCGCCCACTGCCGTTCCATTTCCACTTCCACGATCGCCGTGATAACCGAGGAAAGCTGCAAATCGCTTTGTTGTAAATCAGAGGTGAGATTTTTGGACGGAAAAAAGACCGGAATTTTGGGACTTTGCTATCGAAATTATATTGATATAATTGATTAACCTAATTATATTAATATATAATTAAATTAATATTACATTAACCATAGAATACTATTACGATTAATAATTATCGTACCCTTTTAATTCATCACATAATTATTAATAATTATAATTTAATTATGGTTTTCGAAGATTAATTGATAATAATTGTTTTGACAGATACACTTGATGGATACACATGTTTCGAAAGGTATTGCAGCATATGCAACAATGTTAAAAGTTTTCTAACGAATTTTTCTATAACATTATTTTTATGATAATTTAATTTTCATAATTAGAACAATTTTTTCTATAAGAATTAATGCAAGTATCAGAGAGTTTAGAGCTACCGATATATTATTTTTTTGTTTAATACATTTAAAAAATAGGCATATTGTTTATATACTATTTTACTTTTTATTTTACTTTTTATTTGTAGCATTCTAGAATAAAGTTCGATGTTTGCGCGATGTTTGCGCGATGTTTGAATTCTCTGAAATCTCCAAGTTTTAGATTCTTTCATTCAGATTTCGCAATAAAGGAACCTCTGATTCATAGATCTTAGCAATCTCGAGAGTTTTCGACGCTCTCGCGATTTCAGCACGTTTATGTGGAGTTTGTGATTCCGTCGCAAAGGTTCGCACGACCTCTCGTCGATGTGCTAGTTATAGTCGTGACTTGAATTGCGATTCAGTAGGATACAGTGCCAAACGATTATTCTATACCAAGATAGTACGATAGCAAGGCAAGGAAACGCGACCTGCAACGCGAATGTGCTGGGTAAAAGTAATTTCGAGACCGTTTGCCGCTTTCCGAATTCGGTTGTCTCTACGTCCTGGAAGATGGGAACGAATGAAAGTACGCCCACGAATTAAACCGCCGGAAGCACCGCCGGACGTAGTGTTTGCGTCCGAGCGTAATAACGCTAAATAGTGACTATGCGGACAATCTAATCTCTTTTACAGCGGAACGTTACAGCGGAACACGTTGTTACTCTTAGTTACCGTATTAATTGTATTTTGTAGACAGTAGTACGACTTCGAGTCAGCCACTACCGCTTTTGTTGAATTAACTGACGGAGCGGCGCGTGTATTCTCTCTCGGATAGTCGATACAAAACTGTCGCGATTCTTCCTCTGTCGTTCTTGATAAACGTCGGAATTGGGAATGAAACACGTACGTATGCTTTTAAGAACGTGATTGTTAATTACTGGAGTACCTTAAAGTAATAATTAACTCATGTGATATTTTAATGTGCACCAGATATTTAGTATGTATATATAACGGAAACTAGTCATTTTCTCACAATTACTTAGAGATCGAGATTTAGTCATAAAATTATGTGATAAAAAAATCGATTAAGTCTACTGTGTGCATACAATTGTATACACACACACACACACACACCCACACGCACACACACGCACGCACAAGATGAAGATTATTTTTTTGTACTATCTGATTTGTTATCCTATCTGATTAATATTAATTTTGTCACAAAATCGAAATTTTGTTTCATGCTACAAATTTTTTATTTTA